AGGCCTATGCTATTAAGGCCTGTGTAATAGATTTTTTTTAGCCTACTAATTAATAAAATAATCAGCAATTAGTTTTATATTTCTATTGCAAAATTCTTTTTTTTTCCGTTAAATTTTGGGTATCTTTATAACCTTCAGTAACGTCACAAATTGTATGGTATTTAGAACCACACCTAATTGTTTTGCTATCACATGTAAATTTATTTAAAATAACTTCCATTTTCAAGAAGTTCATTTGTTAAATACCTCGAATTTTATTAAGTTGCCCAAGGGAGTTATTAAAAATCTAACATAAGTCCGTTCTAAGTGTTGATGAAAAATTAAAACACTTCGTACGTTAGATAAGATTATATAGGTACAATTGATTAGGAACAACTAAATAAAAATATTTATGAAACTACTTGGAAAATATATTAAGTTTTAGATAATTATGTAGCAATGAAGGTTTCACAGCATTAGCTGCTTTATTTACGAGCGCTATTACGGAAAAACTCATGTTCTAATATAGCATACTCTTTTTAAAAATAAACTTTCCTTTCAAGTACCTCTTTAGGTTTGGCGTGAGTATTTTCGCTTTAAAAAGTTCTGTATTGTCCAGATGTCTGGAGCAGTTTTATAAAGTTCTAGAAAATTATATAAAAAGTTTATCAAAATAATAACGCTGTTTCGATAAAACTCGTTTTTTTTCCCCCAGATTTAAACTCTCGTAAAAAAATTAAATGTATATGTCAAGTTCACGAAACTCACAAATGTGTTTGTGAAAACAAAATTTTATATCTTATTACTATGACTTAACGTTCACAAAGCGATCGCTATTTAGTAGTTGAAATCATTTCGCTACATTAATAAAAGAAATTAATACCAGTCCCTTTTCGCTGATCTGGCAAAAACTTTCAAATCAACATAACTTATTTTACATCATTCGTCATTGTGTAGCTTTGTGCTAAAACAAACACTCATCTGTTTTGTTTTTTCTGTCCATCGCTAACTCAGCACTAAGCATAAGAGTTCATAACGCTAAAATCGCGAGTCGATATCTGCGATGAACAATGCGCAAATAGCCCATTGTTAATCTTTGCGCTTAACGACAGCCGAATGTAGTCAGAATACTAGAACAGTTATCTTACTAACTACCGTCATATACTACGACAATAATTTTTAGAATTTTCAATAGGATTTCGTAAAAACACTTTAAATATTACAGAAATTCCTTTCGTTCTTTCCTGATGCTAAAGAAATGATTTGATACGAGTAGCATGCTCTAATAATCTTAATAATAGCATCTTTGTCATCTTTTAAAACGGAGCTTTCTATTTTATCCTAAAGTTATCACATTAAAATGACTGAACAATGAATTAACTATACTTTTAAAAGTGTAAATAGTTAGAAATTTAATAAATTCCCTGAATCTTCTGAGAAAAACCAAATACTTACACATTATAAAAGTGTTTTATACTTGAATCCGTTAAAGACAATGTCGTAGTCATGGGAACTATGCAGAACGTCCATTAATAAAACAACGTGTCACATATAATGAATTATAAAAAAAGATATTACATTCATTGAAAAAAAGAAAAAAGTCATTCCCAAACACCCAGGTATATTTTACTGAAGAGCAGTCTACCGGTGAACTAGGAAAATTAATATTGTTTGCTTATTCTTGATAGATTGTTAGAAAACTAACTAAAAAAGTAGCCATATGACTAACAATTTTACCACATAGGTTAGCAAGCACAAACTGACTATATTTTTAACTTTGATGGCGGTTTACATGCATTTATATCTTTAATAACAACTGAAAGTTTCAAACTTTGCCTATTAGAAAACGCTGTAATCATTGTCTAGTTTTCGTTTTTTATATTACTCCGTTAAAACAAACTTATCATTGTGATAAACTACCCATGTATATCTAGACGGCTTCTTTTAATTCCCTGAACTTTACAAGAACGATTTTTATCGCTGAATGTAGAAAGTAAAGAAGGCATTTCTTTCTTTAGTCTATTCAAGTTTTACTTTCCCGTTTCCACTGTTACCGGAGAAACAAGAGTGACGAATAGATTACTTTACACATGTTATCAACATGGCGTCGAAGCATTTTTATTTTGAGCTAGTAATAATCATCAAGAAACGTTTGACAAGTACATATTTCACCTTGAATCACAACAAATAAAAAAATGTACTAATAAGCATAACCGCTATGCTTCACAACTAAAGTAATCGAACTACAAGTTGACAAATCTATAATTTGATATTATAGTCCCCCCCCCAAAAAAAAACAACTGAAGAGTCAAATATCAAACCTAATTTTTGTTTGTAGAAGTTATAAATTAGGAAACGTTTGAGATATTTTATAAATATCATTGAATGAATGAATCGACAATAAGCAAGCTTGTGATCTCATCTCTTGATTATCAGACTCCAATTTTCAAACTCCAATTCAGCACTGAATGATGGAAATAAAAATTAAAGATGTCACCAGGTAATGCATTTAACGTAAACATTCCAATTAAATAAAATATAAGTGATCTGAGAATCTATTGGTCATCAGATTGAAACTAGCACTGTAGTTGGCTTCAGTTACCCAGAATAACCCACAACAGACGAAAATGTTTGTTCTATTGCTAAGTGAAAATTTTGAAAATGGGCCTTCTGTACTCTGCGGATATCGAAACCCGATTTTAAGGGGGGGGCGAAGAAAATGTCAACATGTACTGAAAATGTTTGTTTAATTCTTACTGGAATTAACACATATTAGATGATGACACACAAACACACACAGCGGTACGTAAGCAGATTTACAACGCTAGAGACCGGGTTTCGATACCCTTGGTGGGCAGAGCACAGATATCCCATTGTACAGCTTTGTGTTTAACTACAAACAGATTATAATAATATTCGGCTAAGACTATCATGTCTTTATTTATTACTTTTATCAAATTTGGTCTTTAAGAAAAATCGCGTTAGATCAAATCCGTTTAACGGATAATACATGCTATGCAATCTAAACACGTGTAGAAAGAGTGGCTAAAATTTGGTCTACAACCGACCTACTTTGTAACTTGCAAGAATATTTGATGCAATAATATTGCGGTTAAACAAAATTGTTTCTTTGACCGTATAAACAAGCTCGCAGAGTAGCTATAATCTTTATAACATGGTATAATAAATGCTTAGAAAACTAAAATTTCCTTTAAGCTTTACAGCTTTTTCACGGCTCTCTTAAAACAAACGTATGGATTTTGCGTTTAGATTTCATTGAAAAAGTGAGTGGGAAATAAGAAATATTACAAATCTACCGGAATTTATTTAAATTTAATTCGGTGAGGGTTGGACCTATGGAAGAGCACTGGATTTACCCGCACTTTAACTTATGGGTGCTTTACAAGAATGACAGTCAATATATTAGTGTGAGTGGTAGAGTGCTGCTGACTGGCTGCCTTCCTTCCGGTTAGTAGTTCAAAATTAGGGAAGGAGACAGACAGCTTTAATATCTTTGTCATAAAATACAAAATACAAATACATTCTGTAATTAGCTGTTTGTTTTAAGTACAAAGCAGTATAATGGGTTACCTGCACTTGAACTCAAAATTTCAGTGTTATAAGCAATCAAGGTTATCGATGGGCCACCAGAGGGCTCTTTTTAACTCCCTGAAACTTTATCGCAGAATGCAGAAAGTAAACAAAACATTTCTTTCTCAGAAACAAAATTATTCATTAAAGGTCTAGAATAAAACTTTCACAATTTATCGAATATTAAATCAAATTGTAATTAACAATATATATATATACACACGTATCTTATTTATATATATATATATATAATTAATTTACAAAAAATTATATTAGATTGTTTATGAGCTTTTAGAATCCTGGCGCTTAGTATAAATAACAATTACTGTTCTTCTGAAAAATTAATGTGTAATACGGGTTTACTACGGATTATCTTTAATGTCTTTATAGTCTGTTTTTGTGTGTTTTTTAATTTATAGCATTTCTGATAGCTTGCTAATAATAACTAATAATTATTTAGATTATCTAAGATATGGCTTTTAGATATCTTTTGACTGTTCCCGTTCAAATTATTGTTTGTTTGTTTCTTTTCATTTATGGTAAAGAACTATCATAGAGGTAGGAGAAAAACGGCCGGCAACACCCATCAATAACTGATTGGTTATTCTTCTACCAACGAATAACAGAATTAACCGTCACATTATAATGCCTCCAAGGCTGAAAGGGCGAGAATGTTCAACGCCGGGTTTCGATTCCGCGACAGACATATTTAGTTTATCAAAAATAAGCATTAAGGGTTATTTTAACAGGTATACTTTATTAATTTTGTAGTTACGTCTTTACCATAAACACGTGCTTTTTTTAGGACTTCAAATGTTATCGTTGTTTAGAAGCAGCTATTTCAAATTCGTTTCTTTTGATGAATCACCTTTTAACTACTTCCTTTAAGATGCTTTTAGATTAATTCATTCAACAAGAAAAATCGTGATTATAGAAGAATTCTTAAACCAGAGAAACCATACCTTGTAAGTTTATGATTGACGATACAATCGATTGCTTGCGTTGTTTAAAATCAAATAGAAATGAGTTACATTATTTCTCCCAGGAAAAACGCTGTTTATTATTTGCTTAATTTACTGTGTATTTTTTAATATTGTCTATTAATGCATTACATTTTTCAGCAATTTTAAGAAAACAGAGAGAAAAGCAACTTACCCATTTTTGTTTTAATGAATGTGGTCAACGTCGAATTACTTAAATCTATCAACTTTTACTGCTGCATCAACGGTGATTCTTTATACTTTCTGTGAGGGAGTTTTTGGACTTAGTCCAGTAGTGACGTCAACCCAAAGAAAACCAATCCACTACGAGCATTGTCTCATTCTCTGAATTAACAATATGGTTCCCAACCTTTGACTGGTTTATTTTTTTACCATAAACACGAAGTACAAAGATTTCGGATGATGAAAACTAAAAATGAGTGAAGAACACGAATGGGTATACACATGTAACTATAAATTATATCAATGTTTAACTTTAAAAAAAAAACGTATGAATGATTCTGGAGCTATGTCAGCTAAAGTTACGTTTATAGTCTTTCTCCAGAAATCTTTTCGAGAACTGGAACATCATGACAATGCGTCACGACATTCTGAAATATTGAAAAAAAAAAGGAAAGAACAGACTTTGGAAAATAAAATTTTAACAGTACTATGTATTTGACGTGCGGTCAAGATATCAAAATATTCACATTTATCTGGTATACGAGTTCAGTGCCCATGTATATACGAATTGTAACTTTAACAAGAATATAAATTGAAAACTACTATCTCGTAAACTGCACATTTTTATACATTTTTCAATGTTTTCAGGCTCCTCTGAAGGTATATGTTTAGGTTTTTTTACTCAAAATTTTACTTGGGTAAAATATTACAAATTTGAATATTCGTGTACTCTTACTTGCTGCTCATATTATAGTCATTAAATCTAGAGACTAATAAAAGTAATAATAATCGAGCAAAACAATTTCGCCGATGTGACGTCTTTTCAATTGGTTCAAGCTTTCCAGTGGATCACCAAAACCTGTAAATGCAACGAATCGTATTTATATATATGTGTGTGTTTTTGTCACGCGTTTAACCATTTAATGTCTTATCCCTTTTACAAAAATTAAGTTAAAGTCACGATGAGTACTTATATTTATTTTGTACTTTCATTCAGTTATTTAAACTTTTACATATGCGTAAGAGTGGTTTTAAGTTTATATTAACTTTAGCGAGGTTTATAGTTGTTATTATTATACGAATGATCGAATCTTCTATAAGTAAACTGTATCTAAACCTAACTTGACTGGGCTGGGTCAAGTCTAATGGTTAGCGTACTGGGTTGCGGATCAGAAGGTTTATAGCTCGATTCTACAATATGTCGCTGAACATGGTCGATACTTCCAGTAGTGGACACGTTATCAAAGTGACAATCAATACCAATTCGGATAACAGTAGTCGTGCAGGCAGAAGAAGGTGCTGAGTGGTTTTCTTCCTTCTAAATTAGGAGCAGTTTGTCTATGACCTTTTCGTTTAAGCTACCACCGTTCAAGTTGAAAACCCCAAATACCTAAAAATACTACATCAAAAGAGGTGTTTACGTCAGTGAAAGTTTTTCTACCATGAAAAGTATTTAATTTTCAAGATAGGTAATAAACAGAAAACAGTATTGTCTCGCTTTATATTCTATAGTGCACGTCAAGCTCCTTAAATAATTACACAAAATATTAATGTAAAAGTGTTGCATAATTAGATAAAAAAAACACGTCTACATAAAAACGTCTCCTAATTAATATAATTTTCGAAACATTTATATTTACTTCACGTTTGCTGCAATGGGATTGTAGTAATATAGTAATTTTGCGAGGCACGTGATTGTTTGTTTGTTTGAAATTAAGAACAAAGCTGCACAATGGGCTGTCTGTGCTCTGCCAACCACGGGTATCGAAACACGGTTTCTAGTGTTGTAAATCCGCAGACATACCGCTGTGCCACTGGGGGGGGGGGGGGCAGGCTAGAGGGAAAGCAGCTACTGGGCTACTCTTGTGTGGTCTTATTTTGGAATTTGACCGTTACTCTTGTAATGCACACACGGTCTCAAAGTGTGAATTGTGTTTTTGCGGAAAAACAGACTGCGAACCGTGGACTCTCGGATTTACAATAGTGGTAAGTTAATCACTTGGTCAAGTCTGGTGCAGTGAATAAAATCCAAATGGGTTACAGTTAAAAGCAAAGAGTTTTTTAAATTGTCAAAGTGAACAGTGCAGTTCTTACGTTACTGCTCTTTAAAAACAAGTAAGAAATGTTATTTATTAGACTGGTGCATTTTTATTGTTCGAGTTATTTATTAAATTTAGATATACAGAAACCTAGTCATGATAACAGTAGCTATTAGTCCAATATCTTCTCAATGTATTGGAATTTAGTTAGATAAGAATTATTTAATAGCTTGCAACACATTTGACAAGAAATCGAATTCTTCCTCTCTTCTCAGGGACATGGCCAGGTGGTTAGGGCGCTCGACTTGCAATCTGAGGGTCGCGGGTTCGAATTCCCGTCACACCGAACATGCTCGTCCTTTAAACCGTGGGGGCGTTATAATGTGACGGTCAATCACACTATTCGTTGGTAAAAGAGTAGCCCAAGAGTTGGCGGTGGGGGTGATGACTAGCTGCCTTCCCTCTGGTCTTACACTGCTAAATTAGGGACGGCTAGCGCAGATAGCCCTCGTGTAGCTTTGCGCGAAATTCAAAAACAAACAAACAAACTTATCAGGGAACCAGTGCGTCTCTAACATATAGAAAAACAAACTGATAAACAGCCTATCAGTTCTATTAATGTATACAATCATTCATATAAGATAGCTAGTGTCTGAAGAACACCTTGTGTTTATACACACTTGAAATGTAAGCCGGATACATAGTTCAAGGGTTTAACTTGCAATCTTCATTGTCGCACTAACTTTGGAGTAATATTTTACTTTAAATGAGGGAATAAGCTGGTTCCGAAACTCTGAAATAACTTAGATAAATATTGAAGAAACTACTCCGGGCAGTAATGTGTGGAATAGTTCAAATAATATATATAATGAACAAAGAAAAGTTAACTACATTATTAAAACACACACTCACATCTATTAGCATGCTAATTCACTTCTAAATTACCATTCCTAGCAATATGTTTCATGATATACGTGGCATTCAGTATCAGTATCGATGGATATAAATTAAGGTTTCAAGTTTTATGAATACGTATAAAAACTGTAATCACCTTTTTTTCTTTAATAGCTGTTTTAAATATTTTCTTACTGAACTGTACTCCATTCAAAAACAAGCAATAGTGATTTAACGTCCAATCAGATTTACTGATGTACCATACTTCTCTACACAAGAGAAGTTTGATTATATCTCACAATATGTCGTCTTTACATAAGCATTTTGTGATTTCTTGCTTACTTGTTTCTTATTTAAGAATTCTCGCGCGGTCACAGTAAAAAGAACCAAACCCACAACATGAAACAACTTCTGGTTTAAACAGTATTCTTTACTTTCAACGATTTTGTGTAAAGAAAGTAAAAGCGTAAGATACAAGAATTAAGATTATTATGTTATATCTATCTCTGGGTTTAATTAGTACATTTGAAAGATGGGCTATTTTATAACACGCATATCTAGTTATATCATTTTACGCATGATTCTTAAGTAATCAAATTCATCATTTATTACGTTGGATTAATGTAAGCCTAGCTAAAATTCTACCTCACTTTATAGAAGGAATAAGAACAGCAAGTTCAAACTTCGTGGACCCCCAAGTGAGTGTCAGCCACATCTTTGACATCCACGTCAGCAATATGAATGTTTTATAATCATAGTACACCAGATGTATGTAGATAATAGATTTGTAACGGAAACTGAAACAGATGAAATGTCAGCATGTTTGTATACTGCTGGACAAGAAGAAAAGTAAAGTGGTCAAAACGACGAAGATGAACTGTCAAAAATGTTGTCAGCTGTCCAACTCCAAGAAAACGCAGCTCGTAGAACTATATGGAACCAAAATCACACTTAGTAAATTTAACTTTCAGCTGAGTATAAACAACTGAATTCCATTCCTTTCAACAGCTGAAGCTAGACGTCACTTTCTCCATTCAAAATTACGTGCGTCCCCAGTGGCACAGCGGCATGTCTGCGGACTTATAACGCTAGAAACCGTGTTTCGATACCCGTTGTTGGCAGAGAACAGATAGCCCATTGTGCAGCTTTGTTCTTAATTTCAAACAAACAAACAATCACGTGCCTCGCAAAATTACTGTATTACTACAATCGCATTGCAGCAAAGTGAAGTAAATATAAATGTTTGGAAAATTATACTAATGAGGAGACGTTTTTATGTAGACGTGTTTTTTTATCTAATTATGCAACACTTTTACAGTAATATTTTGTGTAACGATTTAAGGCACCATTGAAGTTTCCCTTGAGGATATGAATAGCAGTTTTTTTACCACGAAGAATAGCTGCCCAAATATGTACTGCACCACCTTCTGTGTGTTCTCTGTGGGAAAAAACAGTCTTCCTCATCTGTTCTCCAGGCAAATGATGAACACGAATTCTACCATCAGCCGTTAAAGCCGAAAACAGAACTCATCTGAAAATATGACATGTTGCCAGTGTCCTAACTGTTAATTGGCATGCTGTCTTGCTCAAGTAACACGAATGCAGCGGCGAATTCTGGTTAATATCAGTTTCCAAATAGCCCTTCTTGCAAAATAGCCTTGTTTGGTCAGTCTGATATTCCCTTTTCTTCCGGATATCGTGGAATGAATGTGTTCATGCCATTGCTGTCGTAAGATGTTGCAAGATGTTAACCTAATCAAAACCAGTAGACTTTCCTGCAACAATGTCCCCTGTAGTCCGATGACGTTTGAGGATTCTGGATACAGTATATTGGGGGTACCTTACTGTTCCGGCAATCTGACAGTCAAACAACTTGATACCCTATAACTTCTGGCACGTGACGATGCATGACTCTACGCCAAGTACAGAGAAATATTTTGAACAAAGCGTTGATCTGTTTCGAAAAATATTATATCAAAAGGACACTTTTATACAAAACAGGTGCGTATGTGTGTTTTGACGAACAAATGCTAAAAACAACTTATACAGACCAGAATAACATCTCGTACATGTTTGCCCAATCATACACTACCTTCTCTGTTACTACTCGCGCATTTACTCAATAACTACTCTCTGCATTTT